GGGGGGGGCAGAGGTGAAAGGGTTATAATAGGGGGTGGAATTGCACCGAGAGTTCAAATGTGTATATGTGGCATTTCAAACTAATGCCAAGCCGCCAATCCACCGCACGCACACTTGCTTTAAAACCCCTCTCTAATACTGGTAGAATTTACGAAAATGGATAACACCCACGTGGTGGCCATCCAGAACACAACGGATTTCATGCGAATGCACGGACAATTTACGTTTATCTAGGGGTTGCGTTTATGGATTATTGAACAATTTGTTCAGCTGTTTGGGGAATGATTTTTGATGATTTCGGGAGTCTTGAGGTGATTATCAAAATGTTTTGGTACGATTATGTCGAAAAGACATGGAAATATAATTTTGAATACATTTTTAATCTCTCGGTGAATTTTTTTATTACACATCATTTGACTGGAAAAAATTTTTATTTTGATACGAAAAACAAAAAAATAAAGGTTTTTACTACCTCAGTAATAAATTCCTTAATATATCTAGGTGAATTTTTCCCGGAAAAATGAAGTCGGAAATATTTCACGAGATGTGATTAAAAAAAATTAATTTCACTATGTGATCATCAAATACCGCTGTGAAAATGTTTCTTTGATGTCTGTGACCTATCGCTGAGCATCTCGGGGTGGAAAAAAATTATCGCGGTGGGGTGGAAGTGAATAATTCGAATGCGGGTTGTAGTAAGGGATGTGCGCAGATATTCCACGCATCATCGATCGGGGTTGATTCAAGATGGCGGTGTGGAGGACTCACGGATTCGGACTTTTTCTACTGGTGCTGGTCAGTAAAAGTCAACAGCAAGCCAAGACCTTCGTTTTTCCGGAATATCCATACAAAGAGACATCAAAGAATGTAATTATACTTTTTAAAATTACTATTTAATTTTATTCGAGAGGGTCCTCCGTTTTTGAAGGGTCGAACTCCGAGTGGCGCCAAATTCAAATTCAAGAAAATCCGAATAACTCCTGATCTGTCCTGAAATTGAAGAATATATTTATCTTTTACTGCAGGAATTATTGTTCCGGGAGTTTGAACAGGCGTGTGAGGAGAGTGGGGCATGCAAAAGCCTTTCCCAACAACGATCAGCAGTGGCAAAGACCAGATGCATAAGAGAGTGCGTCTCGCCATCCTGCTATCGTGAAATCTACCTATTCGATCAGGTAAAAGGCCTCGAGAAAAAGAGAAGATCCACTAATTATCCCTATCTATGCTAATAATCCCTTAATATTCTGGGCAGTTGGAAGAGGGGGAAATCGACGTGAGACTGAACTCATTCAAGGGCTGTTTTATGCAGCGCAACGGTCGCCCTCGGAAATAACAAAGGAGTCTTTTTTTTTAATTAAAAAAATCTGGTTAAGGGTCCAATTTAAATCTCCATCACTCGATTATCAGCTCAAGAAAATTATCCAGTTTGAAATAATGATAAATTTAGCTTTGGAATCATCTCAATTTATTATAAGAATATTTAAAGTATTTTCAACGCTATACTATATCCTCAGAATAACTAAATCCCCTTTTCAGCTGAAGTTATTCAGACGATGCGAGATAAAACATACGTTTAAATCCCGTCCCAGGGACATAATCCCAATAATCCTTCAGAAAATACTCCATTATGCACATTTAATGCATTATGAGCGTACGATGGGGAGCTTAAAGTATCTCACGGACTTCACAGATACGTCTCGATTCTCGAAAGATCATTAATGCAACTGTACTATCACTCGTAATTACGTACAATCACTTTTTTAGGGTTTAATCATATTCTATGGAACCCGAAAATTAATTTTTCAATCGAATTAATATTGTAATTACATAATGGATCAAGTTAATAAAACGAATTTATCAAGCCAAATATGAATTTTTTACTTTGAAGATCATTTTTGAAGAGAACTTCTGATTTCCTCGGGCTGCCAATTTTTTTTTTAATTTGTAATTGAAGATTAAATCGTGGAATCCAGGAAATATTTTTTAAATTGTATTAAAATTTATGGGAGGATGGTTCCATTTTCAGACGAGTTTCTCCACCTGAAAAAAATATATATATATATTAAAAGACCCAAATTCTATTATGAGTTCTTTCCATTTTTTTTGTTTGACACAAATTTTTTTTAAATTTATCTCTTCTAAAACGTCAAAAAATGTATGATTTCATCTTTTTTTTTAATTGAAGAAACTCTAAAATAAAGTTTTATTATGAGGTATTTAAAGATATATTTAATTTTGGAATTGCTTCACGTACTAAGTCTTTCAAAGTGTTGACCAGTGTACGATCAACCTCTGAATTGTCGCCCAAATTACGGATGTACTCATTGAGAAGTTCCAGGGTTCTTCCAAAAGGGTGAATTGATGCAGATTTATTTTCTTTGCGCATCAGTGCGTGCTGAACGTTACTGGTGGAAATGGAAATGGATGTCGTCAGCCAATGATTGAGAAAATTGAAGAATTCAGGGGAAATATCGAAGCTTTGAGTGGCATTGCACACGAAGATGAAGTGGGCTATGCAGTCACAGCAGTTGCTGAGGACTTTCTTGAAATTCCTGCGTTGGCAGAGCTTCAGAACTTCGATGAGGCAGCCGTAGATGATGCCCCACTGGTTTGAGCAAAACTAAAAAAATGCAATTGATATAAATTTTTGAGGGAGTCTCAGCAAAATAGCAAAATTTTCATCTTCTTCTGCCTTTAAAGATTTGAAATATAAAAAATAAGCACCCTTTCATGAAGAGTAATCAGCCAAACGTAGATTCTGTAGATGATCTGATCCCTTCTGGCCTCGGAGGTGAATCCCCCGACCCTGAGGATGGGCCTGTCAATCCTCTCAGACAGCAAAATTGTCAGGAGTCTGATAGCCTCCAGGGAAACTACCTGCGTCCTCTTCAGAAGACCAGAGAGTTGGATCTCCTCCAGGTCCACAATTTTTTCACTCTTCAACTTGAATTTCTCCTGGCCCACCAAGAGGATTCTTAGCAGTTTCAGGGAGGTCCCAGAGAGGAGCTCCTCCCCCTGCGAGTCAAAGGCCAGAGTGCAGATTTCCCTGATAAATTCAGTCCTTCCAATAAAAATTCTAGCAACTCTGTTATCTGATTGACATTCTGCTGCCCTCAAAATCCTTCCACTGAACTTTACGATGGGATGCTTCACTCTGGGATCGATCCCTTCCATCAAGAGGATTCTGATGATGTTGGGAGCACAGAGGACTCCAGACCCCAGGGGAAAATCCCCCCTCACCCCCTCGAACAATTCCAGAATTGAAATTAAATTATGAGACATGGAGTTTGAAAAACCTGCAAGGATATCTGGAATTCTCTGCAAAAGGTGCTGTCTTGTTCTGTCCTCAAGGTTCTTCTGCTGAATCAAGGACTCTAGACACCGCTGGACATCTCCAATCAAATTGTTAGGAGCCGCTTCAATCAATCTCTGGGAATTGAATTGCTTTCGTAAGATTTATTTGAGAGTGATATTCATTCTTTTTTCTCTGCGATATGATACTCCACGAACGGATGATGCAATTGTGATGATTCAAAGTTTTATTTCAAGAATATAAAATTTCTCTGAAAATGGGCGGTCGCGATTGAACATCGACGCAACCGATTTCGAAACACAGAACATTGATTTTTACTCTATTTTGGGAATGAGGTAGAATAGACGTTTCCGAATTTTATTCAATATTCAGTATTTTGGGATCAGACAATACGATTTTGATGACGCAGTTGTCATTTTTAAGAACAGAAAAACTCCTTTAAAATGAGGAAAAAAAATATGAAAATTCATGCATGCACTCTTGGGAAAATCCCTGAAAAACATAAACTCACCCAAATCCAAAAAACGAGATTATCCTGAGTGAAGTCATCGTAGAGGATTTCCACATCCTTATGTAGCTGAATCCATCTCTCCAACACATCCTTCCTGACCTGATCCCCAAGGGGATGGCCCAGGACGTATTTGACGGCGTCGACATCATCCAGAAAGCATTTATCCACTCCTAGAGATTTGACAGCTGCAAAAAGCTTAAAAACAGCTTCAGAAAGTTCCCTGGGTCTCTCGCTCTCCGTTGGCATCAGTTTAGCCAGAAAAAACCAGAGGACCCTGACATGAGCTACGTGAAGATCGGCCTCTGGGGCCTCCACGATGTGCGTGATGATCGTCTTGGGGGGAATTTCGATGCTCTCCTTCGTAGCTTTGTAATGAAAATACATTAAAACCAAAAAGCCATTGGAGTACGTGGGATTCGACTCCATGGAGAGGAGCAGATCCTGCATGACAGTAACCTGGAAGTCACTGATGTCCCCCGGGGTCTGATCGACCCCCAGAGAGCCCTCCTCCACTGCCAGATTCGCTAAAATCTTCGAGAGCAACTGAGAAACAGATGTGGGAAAAAAATTCATGCCCTCGACGGTCTGAGTCTTCCCTTCCTCGAAGAGGAACGTCAGATATCCATCGACGGCTAGTGCCCTGGATAACTCCACTGTGCGAATGGCCTGCAGCTCGTACAGTTGATTCAGGTACCTCAGGAAGTACTCGTAAATTATCTGGGCTTTACTCCTGGCGAACTTCTTGAAATAGGGAAGGACTGATTCTATCAGGATGCTCGACGTCCTTGATGTCAGGGAGACGATCAAAGTATCGTGGAGGGTCTTCGGAGGCGCCTCCACGTAATTTTCTGAATCATACGAGTCCTGGATCATCAGGCAAAACCTGGAGTTCATGGATGTTTAATTAGATGGGGATTATCTTGGTAACGGCTAGTGATAGAAAATTTTGGCATGAGATTTTTCAATGCGGAATTTAGTCCTCCATCTAAGAAATCTTATCACTTTTCTTTTTAAAACTACACGTCCATTCAAAAAATCTTGTGAAATTTTTATCTAGACCAATTAGTTCTCGAGATCAACGTATTTTGCCAAAATGATCTATCACTTTTTTAATTATGGACTTACCAAGCAGCTTTAGAGTTTATTTCGCAGACGTATTTAATTATGTTAAGGATGATGAGAGAATTCGGATTTCTGTTGCTCTCAATGATCTGCTGAAGGCCCAGCAGATGGTCCTCGAAAAGCCTCCGGATGAGTCCTGCCTTCGTATTCTCCAGGGGAATTCCAATGTGTGGAATGATTTCTTTAAAAATTCTGATTGAAGACTTTAAAGGCTTTCCCTGGAGTAATTTCACAGCATGGAAATCATCTAGGAATTCGAGGACTCGGGAGATGTCACAGACAGTCTCGAGGTCGATCTGGTGTTTTTTTGCACTGAAGAGGACCTCCTCGACTATCACCAACATCTTGTAGAGGACGTCTCCGTACTTCTTTCGTTTTTTCATCAGAAAAATCGATGTTTTCATGATTTTGTCGAGGACAAGGTCTGCTAGATCGTTCTCGAAGAAGACTTTGGACGTGGAGATCACTGAAAGACATCTCAAGACCATTCTGGAAGTTCAGAAATTATTTATCATGATTTTAAAAAGATTGAATCAAATACAGAATGAAATTGAATCAACAAATTAAAAATACGAGATGAGTGGAATTCCCTATTCGTCATTCTTTGCTATTTTGTCTTTCTGAGGTTGTACTTCGATTGTTAATTTAAAAAAATCTATAAATACGTCAATAAATGCTCGTTGATAGTCCCCATGACATCGCAGAGTGCATGAACAATGTTCAATTGTAGAAGATCCCTGATAAATTGTTTTCTTTGTTCCCCTGGTTGAGTGAGTTTTGAATAAAGCTCCTGAGCTGCTGAGATCTGCTCCATGAATAAATAAATCATAAATTAATTAATTAAATAATTCAAATTATTATAGATTCCTCACCTGTTCATTCTCATCTCTCATCATCAGTTTGATTCTCATCATTTCAAATTCCGACAGCATTTTCCCTTTCGAAATCAAAACAGAAGTTTTTCAAAGAGAATTCGTAAATATCAATTATTTTTCATCCTTTAAAAGCCTTGAAAATTATGTAAAAATGAGCTTGACTCAAACAGTTTTCAAAATTGGAGAAAGATTTGAATGAGAACAAAAAGAACAGAGAAATCAAATCTTCTATTCAGTGGACAAAAACCGAATTGAAACACCGAGCAGACACTTGGGGAATTCTGGGTAATCTAGTCTAGAAAAAATTCGAAAATTCGATAATAACGCGCCCTTGGGATTCTACATCAGCATCCAATCGTTTGATGGCGCCACCATTCAAATCAACGGGAATTATTTTGGATGTAATTCCCGAAGCCCGAATCATTCAATAATCCAGATCAGTCCAGATGACGTCAAAACATCTCCATCACTCCAACGAATTCACGTTCCTCAGGAATTCATGGAAAATCCGTACCAAAAATCAGACATTGCCGTCCTCGTCTTAAATTTTTTTGAAAGTCCAACAATAAACTCGGAAAAATAATCATCGCTGAAAATTAATTACAAGGTGTGACAAAAGTGTAGAACAAACCTAAAAAATCAGCCGCATCCGATAGCGCGTTTCTAAATAATTGTAATTAATAAATAATTGATTAATTGACGATGACATCTGGGTGATTGACATTCTGGTGGTAAATTATTGACTCGAACGAGGTAATCGATTTGCTCAGGGGAATCGATAAGTCAAGATGAGTAAAATGACAGTTTTGTGTCGGTCAAGGGCTCATTTTGGAGCTTTAGTCCTTGGGGGTGGATTTAAGTTCTCCAGGAGTTGGTTGGGGGTGAGAGAAATATGTGGTGGAAAAAGGAGAATGGGAGCTGCTATGGGAGCCACTGCCAGTCCTGGAACACTTCCTGGGGCTCTGTCCAAACAACAGGCTAAGGAATTAGCTGTCAAACTAACTAATGATGAGAGAACTGTTCTCATCCATGCACTACAGGAATGCCAGTCTGAGAAAACAAGAGCTGAATACGAAGGTGAGTCTTTTTTTCAACTCTAAACTTCAAACACCAAATAATCTGTAGAAGTGTCACATTTTCTCTTCAGAAACTTCAGCTGCTTTACGGCAAAATAAAATAAAAATATTGGGATATAAAATTCTGAATCTAAAATCATCTGTTTATTTTTTTCTAATAACTGTTTACGTTTTTCTCTCAGCAAATTCTGTGGAGAGAAAATTCCGGATAAATTTTCCCGAATTTTCAGAGGGAAATTACGGAAAAAGACTTTTTATGGGCTAGAGAAAGGAAATTATATAAATTACCGATTGATGTTTTTTGGGGAATTTTTATTTATTTAGTGTGAGATAATGGCGATTGCGTCATTCTCCTGATATATAACGGCAAAGATTGACGTCAAAGGCATAAAATCGAATTTCTGAGATGAAAGTCATGGATTCTTTTAGCTAGTATTTTTCAGTCAGCGTATGAGGAATAATTGAATATTAGAATTAGAATAATTGATTTTCTTTGTTATAAATTTATTATACTTTCAATATATTCTCATGGAAATGAGAAATCCCTGGAGATTCACTGGACCCCAGGAATTTGATTATATCATTATTTTAATATTATTGAATGAATGTTTATTGATTTATCTAGTTAAACATCGATAAAGTTTATCACAGGTCAATTGGCAGCTTTTCGATGGCGGAGTAAATTCGGACGACCCAGCAGTGTTCCTTCACTAGGAGAAGTTGATCCCACTGGAAGCTACTGTGCAGTACCTGATGACTGGCTTCTAAAAAAGTATGGTACGAATGTCATAATCCAAAAATATTGATTTCAGCTTTCAAGGGAGGCAGCGGAGGTGGTGAACGGAATTACCCCATTTCAATACCATTTTTCACTTCATCTGCTGGCAAAAAAGTTTCTTGAAACTTCCATTCAACTCAATAAATTACTCCCGTTTCCTCCTGATTGCGCGAATTTTCAGTGAATAAACAACAGACAATAATAATTATGCCAATCATCAATGAATAATATAACACCACAAGTTCAAGGAACTTTTTGCAATTTTTTACAGTGAAAAAGTAATTTCAATTGTTGAAAATAATTGAGGATTAATTTTTTTTTAATAAAAAAATCAATTTTTGACACTAATATTGAACTGTTGATTCAAGCGGATCCCTGGGGAGAACAGTGTAAGCTGGCATGCACCTAAATGTTAGACAAATTACTGATAAACAAACAAAAATAAACAATCTAAGTGTGATTTTTTTCTGTTTGTTTAGATAATTCTCACTGTCCTCTGCCTTCCACCCAAGCTCTGGGCACATTTCTATGATTTTATCGTTTTACATTCCTGATTGTTTAAACAATAATAACCATTCATGGAATATGTCTTACTGACACAGGCTGTCTCCTTTCTGCTTTACCTATCACACTGGACAAAAAAAATGTCTAATTCTGTAAGTCTGCCTCAACTACATGTTTTTCTTCAATTATTTGTACGTAACGGCCAAATTTTTTCCATTTTTATTCCTAAATTTCCCAGAACCTCTGGATTCTGTAGTAATTATAGTGGGGATATAAACTTTCATTTAATCCAAAAATAACAATTTTTCATGCTGTTTCATCGTTGTAATTAGGATCTCCACTCAATCAAATAATTATCTATTATCTAGGAACTCTGGGGAATCTAGAGGTAAAAATATTCAAAAAATTTGAAAAACGAGCCGGAAATTACACAGCAATGGAATGACGCATGGCAATAATCTTTTTTTTACTCAATTAAACACGTACTAATCTTTTTTTTTATGCATTTTTTGGGGAGTAGGAATAATTTTGGGAATTTTCCAAGGGTGGAAATGATCAATGGCTTTTCTCGATTCAAATTTCACTCGTTATTATTCATTGACTCAATTATTATTTATTTTCTCAGGATTCGTTAATTATCATTTTTTGTTTTCAGTTCAAACAGTGCCACAGCCACAGCGGAAAGATCTTATGAGAGGTAAATACAACAAAAAGCAAAGCTGATTGACAATTAATGAATAATCAATGAAGCAATTGCTTTTATATAAAATAAACTAACGTCTCCATTATTGTAAATAACCAATTTCTATATTTTTTTGTAGTGGCTGCAGCTAATGCCATTCCATTCATTGGATTTGGATTTCTGGATAATTTTATAATGATTATTGCTGTGAGTATCGTTTGATTTTTTATAAATAATCGAGAAGTACTAAAACTAAACTTGTCCACACATGTATACCCTTTCGGGCTTTTACATTTCCCACCCCCAGTTCCCCCTGTACCGCAATTACGCCGAGGGCCGAAGGGAAAACCTCATGGGAAAAAACCTTGGCCAGGTACAGTCGTCCCTTTCGAGACTACCGCTCGTACGATGAAAACCTGTGCAAGTTAGAGCGAATTCTATCTCTAAAAAACCCCTGGCATTTCCCCGACTGGGAATCGAACCCACGAATCTCATGTGCCAACCCCCTACGCTCTAACCGCACGGCCACCGCACGTCGGTTAATAATCGAGAAGTATTTCTCATGAGTTTTCTAGCGAAAATCGAGAATCGTTTATGCAATTAAAGTAGTGATTGAAGTAGTACATGAATGGAGCAGTAATTAGGAATGGATTAGGAATTCAATTACAACGAATGATTCGAGGAATAATTGATCAATTCGATTGTCCTAGGGAGAGCAAATCGAAACATCAGTGGGGGCTGTGATAACTATATCTACAATGGCAGCAGCTGCCCTGGGGAACACAATATCTGATATCCTGGGGATTGGATCAGCGTATTACGTCGAATTACTCGCCCAAAAAATTGGATTTCAACCACCCAGATTGACGCCAATTCAACTCGATCTGCCCAAGTCGAGATTAGCCGCTAATTTGGTAATTAATTCTGCAATTTGAAGGCCTCAGTTTATCGTGAGAAATCACGAAGAAAATTAATTCCAATTTCATGCCAAAACAAATTTTCAATTGACGAGTTTTCAATAGATAATTGATAAACCATTAATTTCAGGGTCGAGTAATTGGAGTGACAATTGGCTGCATGCTGGGTATGACTCCTCTGCTGTGGCTCCATCAAGAGTTGAAAACAGACGACAGCCCCGAGCAAGAAGGGGAATAAATAGTTGACAAAAGGCCATTTTGTGTCATTTGTCAGTCATTTTGTTAATAGTCGCCATAACCCCAATCCGAATAGTTTATAAACAAATCGCTGAGCGTCCATGTTGTGTTTGCTTCGTGTACGGGAAATGTATATAGTATATTGTTACGAGATGTCTTCTAGAGTTTTTAATTATTTTTCATGACTTTTTTATTTTTTCTTCGCAAGTGACTCGAAAATAATTTTTATGTGTGAAATAGTTTAGAGGAGAAATAGGAGAGGTGAATAGGATAAGGTATAGATGACTTGTAGTAATTGGAGAATTTAGAATTGGAAATTTATGTGGACCAAGGAATTGAAGAATGGTAACAATCAAGATTCTGTTGTTTAGTCGATTAGAAGAAGATGAGTTCGAGTTCGAATTCTGTTGTAATTCCACTATTACTCTATAATTTTGCTAAGATATTCATTTCTGAAATGAAGTTACGAAGAATTAAATTATTTTATTTTACAGCAGAATTTCAACATGTAATTTGTTTATTTTCGTTAACTCCTTCTTAATTATTAAATCGGCAAATTATTGTCGATCGACGAAATAAAATACAAAAAAACCTTGATTTTCTCAATTAAAACTTTATTCCTGTCAAATAATCATCTTGAAATATTCCCAAGATAAATAAAGACAAAACTACGTGCTAGTCACTGTTCCCATCTCTGCTGGATACATCAGTAGAAAAAATATATTCTTCACATTTTCATGATAAAAAATACATGGATATCCCCTCAGTCTCAATGGCCAATCGAAATATCCGAGACAATTCCCACATAATACTTCCACGACGGAGCCACGACGGAGCCCTGGAAGCTCTGGAGTGTCTCCCTCCAGTTGATCTCAGTAACGAAATCATTCCGAGGCTCAGGATTCAGCACCTGAGAATTCGTAACAAAAGATCCCCCCGGATTTTGCAATGGGATATCTATTTTCTTCTGGCAATCCTCGTCATCTCCAGAGTAATCTGCAAGCCAGCTACTCAATTGAGGGATCCACCAGTGCCAGGAGTTATTGTGGGCCTCAAAATTGTTGAAATAATGTTCAGAAGCCGTAGAGTTTGCGATGAACTGATCACCAGAGAATTGAAGTACGTTCGAGTAGTTGAAGTCGACTGAAGGATTCGGAAGAGTTTGGGGAATTCCTGGGGTTTCGATGGACAAGGGAATGCTCTTGGGGGCCAGGGATGTCCCAGGGACATGGCTGGCGATCAGGGCTGACCCCAGGAGGGTTACAACACCTGCTGTATAAGCTGCTAGACAAACTGAGGAGATGCTGACGAGGGCCTGGACTATTGCTGTGATCCGTATCGTCTCGACGAGACACGACAGCTCTCTGTAAGAAAACCATCCCCTCTTTGTCCCCTCCTTGTAGGCCACATCCTTCTCTAGCTTTCGCAGCCGATCCCAGAATTGATCGTTATAAATAAATATCTCCCAGTTCTGCAGCAGAAATTACCAGTAATTTTTTTATTTAATCATGCAATCACAATGGAATGGGAAAAAATTAATCTGCCGATTAAATTAGTGCTGTCTATGCAGGAGAACATAAAACTAGAGAATAATTGTAAGTATTTTGACGATTAATGATAATGTCGCTGTCTGGCAACGGATAGGTTGCAGGTTCAATTCTGGTTTAGAACAGGTGACAATTCTAATTATGAAAACCTCGTTTTACCTTGATGTATGCGAGAACACATCTCTGATAAGAGAAATGTTAACAATTCTATACCTCGACACATCGGGTAGAATCGGTGAGATCTAACAGAGTCGACTCCATGTAAAATAACCATTGAAAAAAAATGATAAGGCATTGTATTAGAACAGATCTGGAACTTACGATTGCTGTTAAGAATTCTTTTTCCAGTCTATTCATCTGTGGTACAGTTAAATCTCCAGATTGTGCCCATTCGGCGTTGAAGACTTCGTCCTCTTCGCCATCATCATTCAGGAATTTACTAGCAATCATCTTGAAAAAGATAAATTTGAGTTATTAAGATTGACACAGGATGTTAAAATTGTTAAATATAGTGAGAGAAATTACAAGAGACACGAGGAAGAGTTCGGATGGTGCGACTTTGTACAGATATTCCGGATTGCAGTCTTTTAAACGTTCCAGGTACAGAAGAGCCAGGACGAAGGAGCACGGGGAGACACAGGCGTTCCTGGAGATTCTACTCGCCTCCTCGACGTCCAATCTCTCCAGAGTGCAGCCACTTTTCACTTCGGAAAATAATTCAGCTGCAAATTCTGTGAGGAAAAAAATCCAATTGTTCAAGTAGACATTTTCTCCCAACTTCTCAAATGAAAAATTATGATGAAAGAATAGAATATTCAAAGGGGAAAAATACGAAGTATAAGGAATTTATTTCACCCTACGCCATGGCCCAGGACTAAAATACTTAAAGGTAAAAAATGGGTTTTCGTATTTTTCACTTTGAAATGCTTTGAAAATTTGTTGATGTTCAATACAATAATTCATACCAGTTACTGGTAAACTGAGTCTATCAGTCATCGGTAGTTTCGAATAATAAAGAGATTTCGTTATTCTACTTAAGAATTCGTCCTCTTTTCCCATCGTCTGCAATAAAGAAATAAAATCATTATAAAAATTCAAATTTTTGTAATTAATTCTAGTTTCACTTTAGTCTGTCACATCAAGTATCTGAAATTGTTCATTTCAATTGTTCAAGAGATTTGTGACTTAATAAGTGATAATAAGTGAATTCTATTTTTTGGGTCTACTCCAAGTCCAAATGACGCCTCATGCAGGAAATATATATATATTTTTTTATGGAGTAGGTGGATTGAAGGATAAAGTGTAAACACCTAGAGGAGATGGAACATTATTTATTGTCTTTTTCCACATTTGTCCATTTATTATGAGGTTGAAGCGACAGGTGGCAAGTGCTCGAATACGGCGTGGTCTCACCTTGAGTTTCGCAGACGATCGTTTTCCTCTGGTTACACTCATCACGAAATAAAATATCAACAATTGAAAAAACCTCCTCTAAAACATCGATTAACCAAAAAACCAACGATTTTGATAAACAATAAGTGGAAAATAACTGAAGTGTTCGGAGGACTTCCGATGATGAGGGCGAGTGGAATTCGATTTTCTCTCGATACAATATCGATACTAAGATTGTCGATAGTTGATATTCCTAATGCGGAGATTGCGCGTGCGATTTACTAATTCAATAAATGAGTTACGAGTTTATTTAATTTGTTGAATAAATATTTATAAAGGTTTGATATGTTGAACGTAATATTAAACCTATTCAAATTATTTATTCCCTTATTTTGTTGATGTGCCACTAAAATTTAAAAATCATGGACGTTTTACGTATCGATACCTCGATAATATCGAAAAACGCAGAATCGATTTGGATTCTCGTGAAGCCTCGGAGATTCTCGGAAACCTCCGAAGTTCACAGCAAAACTCTTCGAACCGCAATCACTCATAGAATCGAAAATATCTGGTCACCTAGCGATTTGAAAAAAAAATGTGATAACAACTATTTGTGAAGAATTTTTCGCTCTGCAAAAACTTGTTCTTGACATTTTCTCGTAAAATGGTTATTTGTGGAGATAATCGGAAAAATGTGGGTATATTTGGATGTGGGGGAGGAATCGATTTTATTTCTTCATTGTGAAGGCAACTTCACTTGTCTGGTGATTCCTCTATGGAGTTGTCCCTGAAAGAAAGTGCACCTGATGTATTGACTGAAATAATGAGAAATTGATTTTTGAGGAGGGAAAATCGAAAAGTCTTGGGGATTTTCTTGGGATTGATTTCAGACTGAGGGTGAAGTCGAGGTGATTTTCGTTAAAGATGAGTTCTGGGAAGTGGCAGTGATGAGGCTGAAGGGGAAAAACAATACAAAATCCTTCCAGAGTGTCTACAAAGTGTTATCACGTATATGTCGTAAGTCTCGGGGATTAATTAATTAATTTAGTGTCATCTGGGGTCTCGGTTTTGGGGTTAATTGAGGAGGGGAATTAGTCTAGATGTGAATGGAATGGAGATCCAAAATTTCTTCACAGTAAATTTTCATATTCACCCAATAATTCCTCTCTAAAAAATATAATTCCATTCTTCAATTAAAATCGCCTTTTTGATTATTAATTAATTCATGGTAATTTACTTTATTATTCAATTAAATATTTTTTATGTAAATCCATATGAAGGGCTCTTCAACGATCAAAAAGTGTAAATTGGATTGAATTATCGTGAAATTAATTTGAGTTTCCTCAAAAAAATGCTCCAACGAATTTGATAAATTAGGTGTACCCCATTTTGCTTTGATGCTTTAAAAAGTAAATTCGCCTGAATAATAAATTCTTAATTAAACAATAATTTTCTATCTTCTGTTTCAGGGGCAGTAGACAAAGGGCAATTAGATGGTTTCATGGCTGATGGTGGTACCCAGCCACTGAAAAGTGGCCACAATTCCCAAGCAATGGGTTTTGCCTCTCAACCAGTTCGCCAGAGCACAGAAGTCGCCAGTTCAGTGTATGCAGTTGGCCAATATGCCCCAAAGGTCCTGAGAAATTTGAATGCCCAGAGATTGAAGAACCAATTCAGCGACGTGGGCCTGATGGCTGGTGACAAGATAATCAGAGCACACAGATCAGTTCTAGCAGCTGGAAGTGCATATTTCAATGCAATGTTCACTGGTGGACTAGTGGAGGAGCAACAAGAGCTCGTGGAGATTCACTCCATAACTCCCGGCATATTATCCATCCTCGTGGATTTTATTTACACTGGAAATGTCGATATTACTCAGGATAATGTCCAGGAACTGTTTGCGGCTGCTGATATGCTCGAGCTGGATGAAGTTGTGGCTGGCTGCATCGAGTATCTCAGGCAGCAGCTGCATTATTCAAATGCTTTGGGAATTTACAGGTGCGACGGAGAGATTGGCTGGGGATAAAGGGAATTCGTGGCAAAACCCACAGGGATTTTTCAATAGTAAAATTGTTGTCAACTGTTGTGAATTAATATTTTTGTATTATTTTCTGGTAGATTCGCTGAAGCCCACAATCGTCTGGAGTTGATGGAGACTGCCCTACGTTTCATTCAAGTCAATTTTCCTCAGGTGTCGCAGGAGGAAGAGTTCCTTGATCTGCCAAAGGAATATCTCATTCATTTTCTCAGGAGTGAATATATACACATCGACACTGAATTTCAGGTGATAATTTTGGTATAATAAATAGAAAAATCGATGGGGATATTGATGTTAATGGATTTCTTAACTTGTTGTCAGGTCTTCCAAGCAGCCTACAACTGGATAACCCACGATGTTCCCACACGTCGTTGCTATGTTTTCGAAATTCTCAGCCACATAAGGCTCCGATTGTGTTCACTGAGTCGTTTGGAGTCCATCATACTCGACTGCAAGGACGCCAGTCTCATCGTAGCCCTCAGATCTATTCAGAAGGATTTAATATCTAATAAGGGGTGCTTGGTGCCTCTCAGGGCGCAACCACGAATCTGTGCCAAGAAAAATATTCTCGTTATCGGTGGATCTAAGAGAGAACATACTGCTGATAGCTGGGCCAGAGATGCTGAATCTACTTATGAAACTATTGAAAAGTATGACACATTTACTGGACAATGGAGTGAAGTGGCACCGATAACCATTGGACGAATACTCCCAGGTGTTGCCCTTCTGGATGGGAAGGTTTACGTGGTGGGTGGTGAACTCGAGTCATGTATAATAGCCAATGGGGAGTGTTACGACCCCAGAGACAACGTCTGGACATCGATTGCTTGCATGGTAGAGCCCAGATGTGAATTTGGATTGTGTGCTCTAGATAATCACTTGTACGCATTCGGTGGGTGGGTAGGAGAGGATATCGGAGGCTCCATTGAAACATACGATCCAATAAATAACACCTGGACACTCCAGGGAGAATTACCGGAGCCCAGATTCAGCATGGGAGTTGTTGCCTACGAAGGTGATCCTCATATTTTGTTAATTAAACTTCATGGAAAACTAAATGAAATCCCTGATTGCCTCTATATATTAGAAAGCATTTCGTTTCTATTGACATTTGTTTGCGAAGAATACACAGTGTGACTTTTCTCAATTTCACAGAATTAATTTTTTAATGTTTTCAAAATTGGAGCAAAAGTTTTAAAAATCGTGAAAAATCTCGAATTGAATCAGATGATTGATGATTTCCACTTATTTCTACTTTTAAAATCTTTATATCTGAGAATTCAATAATTTTTAATGAATATTAACATTTTTTAATCAAATAATTTAATAATAATAAAAAATTAAAAATAAATTTAATGAAATTTAACGATCAATAAATTGTAGAAGATAATTTTTTGAAAAGGGAACTTTGGAATTGTTTTTTTCAGGATTGATTTACGTTGTTGGAGGCTGCACTCACGACAGTAGACACAGACAAGACGTAATAAGTTACAATCCAGTGACGGGAGAGTGGAACCCTCTGGCTTCGATGTTGACTCCACGTTCGCAAATGGGAATTACCATTTTAGACGGGTATATTTACGTCGTTGGGGGAATGAATAAGAATCAAGAGGTTCTGACGTCCGTTGAACGGTACTCCTTCGAAAAGGTGAGGATTTAACGTTCAATGACTCAACCAAACGCCACCTTTTTTGAGAATTTATTCAGCAATCAAGACACGTCAACAAATTTTTGTATAGACTTAGTAACAAATTGGGATTGAACTAGAGAACATGAATTTGTAGAGACAAAAGTATTCAATTAATTAAAATGGGGAAGTGAATAATTTAACTGGAGATTCTGACATTTGATCCTTGAACTTCAATTGAATGCCATCGTAGACTATTTGAGATCATTAACATCCCCACAATCACTTATTTTTCATGATCACTGCAATGTCGTAAAAACTCCCAAGATAGTCAGATCAAAGCACTGATTCAATGCTCTTTTACTTCGTTGGATCACGCGATGTATGAGTGACTAACAATTACAAACTGACGAGAGACCGTGAGAAATAGTACGGGAATAATATTACCCCTGGATTCGTGGTAATCCCCAAATTCTATGGTAACTATTTGCGCGGCTACTAAACTCCATGCAAAATTGTCATTTTGGGATTAGATGAACGGTTATCACTTTCGACAGGTTTAATGTATGGCAGTTCAATCGCGGTAATTAGTATCCCTGCGCAATCCCATAATTACCAGAGAATCGGGGAATAATTGGGAAAGTGGCAAATCTAGAGATAAAAATGTTAAAAATCCGGGGAGGCGTTTGAGTGACTAAAATGTCAGTTTAAGAGTGGGAGAAAATTTTATTTTTCAGAACAAATGGACAGCAGTCGCTCCAATGAACATGGGACGTTCCTATCCTGCAGTGGCAGCTGCTGATGGCCGTCTGTACGTAATCGGTGGTGATCAATCACGTGAAATTAATTTCTATCGTACGCAAATCACAATATCAACTGTCGAGAGTTACGATCCAAGTACAAACACGTGGAGTGAGTGTGCATCATTACCAACGAGTCGTGGTGAAGCTGCTGCTATAATAGCACCATTCTGATCTTTCAGATTAATATTTTTATCATTTTTTATTTAAATCCAAAGTATTGTTCAGATTTAATCAAAAAATGACGAAAATCCATGGAATTTATTGAGTGTGTAGATTAATTCAACACTTTACGATAAATTGTGATACTCGAACATATTATTTTTCCCTTTTTTTATGAATTTAATGTCTTGTTGTATTTATTATATTATATTTCATGCTTTTATTAGTGTTTAATGAGTTCAGGCAGTAATGAAGTGGTAAATTGAGGAAATTATCGCAGATTTCTCTGGGCGTTTTGCACCGAGTAACAATTCTTAACGACCAAATTACTGAAAATTATTAATCAGAGGAAATTGAATCGATGGAATTGAGGAGAATGATTGTTAATTGTCAATTTCACCTTGTTCCTATTTTTTAAAACTGTTTTCTCCACTTTTTGACGTATCAAAAAATTTAAAAAACCAATTACATTTAATAAATTGATTCTCGAATAAAACTATTTTAATTCGACTAATTTATGATTTTTTTTTACCATATCCCTAACTCCAGAGATTTCTGCAAGAAGAAAATGCAAAATTTTTCGATTTCAATCGATTTATCCTTTCTCTACTGAAATATCATTATTTGCGAACTACACGGCTTTTGAATTTGTAACTGGGAACTTATCAGTACTCAAAGGCATCTTATCAATGAGAATGGATAGTTTTTCTCATCCCAAAAAAATCGAAATGCCACTATTTAACTCATTGAGAACAATTACTTATTAAAAAAATTGTTTAGTCACTGATTTCTGTGAAAATTTATCTGAGAAATGAAATTTTAGCTAAATTCTCGATAAAATCATTGAAGAATTGAAATTTTCAAGGAGAATTTTATATATTCATTTAAATTTGTGACGATGTCATCTAACTGTCGACTTCGTTCGATGACGCAGTTTTCCTCGATGATTCCAAGACCATAAAAATCATGAATACAGAAACGGTCTTAAAGCTGAGAACATTATTTGTATTTTTTGTTTGAGCGATAATTTTTTTCCCTTTTCCTGCAAATGCCTGTGACTCACTTCAATGTCAATAGTTTATTGCAGACTCATGCGAGTGGATAAACCGATGAAATTCAATAATTCTCTAACAGATTTTTAGAGTTGCATCACTCATCGTTATTTCCTGTGTCATTAGTTCTGAGTAATCAAATGAGAAATAAATTGATCGTGGAGTGGTGCAGATAATGCTCAAGAGCTCGTCACCGTCATTTTCTCGAGACTCTCCAAGTAACTCTTCAAATCTAAAATCATTAAATTGCTAATTAGTTAATTATTTCCAATTTACAATTCATGAATAAATTTTTGGATGAGAGGAATTGTTTTGCATCAGCAGATGAATGTCCCATTGGGATCTCAATTCACGTGAAGAAGTCATCGATTGTCAGAGACTCTCCCGAATAAATAGATAATTGTGGATTGTTTCACTGTTTTTCACTGGAATTTGTTGTTCATGGTATTAGAAAAATTATTCATGCCTGCTGATGGGTTTCCAATAATTGAAAATACCCTCCAATTATATCCTGATGAGTAACAGCTTATTATTTATGTTGATCCAATGATGAGAAAATTATTTTCTAATTTATGACACTGCAGCTTATAATACAACTCCTGAATTAAAATCACTGGATCTCAAAATGGCACGTCTGTCTCTGATTTTTAAAATATTATTATCCCTAGATTGAACGATAATTAGTTGATGGTGAGGGCATACTAATTACAGCGGTTAAATTGCTATAAAAAATTGTCATTTTGGGATAATTTGAATATAAAATGATAATTTTTCTATATATAATTCAGCAGGCGTAATTGGTATCCCTGCGCAATCAAATAATTGCCATAAAATCCTGGAATTCCCGGGAATTTAGGTATAATCTTTTTATAATCGGAGGTAGATGGGCCTTGATGAACCCAATTTTTATCGTCATGTACCGAGGATTCACGGAATTGCACTGAAACAAAACATAATTGAATAAAAAGTAATAGGTAAAGAAAATTATAAAACGCCATTTTTATACAATTTTATGTGTGAAAAAAGTTATAATGAAATGACACCAAGGACGAGTGATTTTTATTTGCTGTTAGAGTGAGTCTCACAAACGAAAAATCATTGTAAAAATGTTGAAAAAATAGTTATCCACGAATATGAACGTTTTACACTAATTAATGAAATTAATAAAAATCCGTGAGTGAAGTCAAACTCACTGCAATCTGTCGTAAAATGAAATGATGAAATTAATAAATTGATCAATGAAACTAATATATATAAATAAAGAAAAAAAATGTTTTTTAATCACTTTCAAAGATCCCCTCATTACAGCACATTACAATTCCATTACATTTAGTTAGTTATTAGTCATTAGTTTTAATTACTCTTGTGAAATTAATTGGATTCTAACAACAAACGCATGAATTTCGGTTTTGAATTATTTATAATTTTCAATTTCAATAGCTTGTAATATCAAAATAACGTGTCCGTAATTAGTTGGTCATTTTTAATGATTCCGAAATACCAGAATTATCACAGAGATGAATGAAATTAATCTCAATTATTTATGTTCTGACGACTCATCGCGCCTTATTTTAAACCTTGCACTGCTGATCGGTTATTTTTAATTCTCGATAAGTCTTTTGATTCCACGATTGAGATTAGTGAAACAATGATTGATGAATATTAGATAAAAAATTGATTGTAGACGGAAAAAATGGCACATGCTCCATTATTCTATTTTTATTAATCTTATCGATGGGTTATGGAAGAAATTGTTGGGAGACGGGGGAATCCCATGGTTAAACATCGGATTTGTTAATCTAGTGATTACCTGGGAAATCGGAGATTTTGGGGGAAAACCTCTAGAATTTTTCGAGGATTATGGAATAAATCAGGGAAATAAATCAGACCCGATCACTTCAATGATTTCTGTCATTATTAATCAATTCACAATCACTGAATCATTCGAGCAAATTCTCTTTCCTCTTGATTATTGTAATTTATTAATTGACGACAAATGATTCGTCAAAAAAATTCAAAGTTATATAAATAATAATATAATAATAATTAACGAATATAGCGAAAAGGTAAAAATTTCTCGAGTGATATTTCCAACAAATTGACCAGTGGTAAAATTCTCGACTTGTCCAAGCCATTTTGTCCATTAAAAAAAAAACCTGTGACTAAGCCAGGCAATAAAAATGTCCACTTCCTAGACGTCAAATAAAGAATATCAAACTGATAAACAGGGAAAAAAATCAAGGCCGGTTTTTTCATTGGTATCTATAAATAAATTTCTAATGTTTGTACGATAACGATGAAGAAACCACTCTCCATTACAATTCAAACATGACAGACTCTCAGTGTCATTTATCGTTAAAAAATCAATGAAAATGTTGCTTAAAAATAAAATAGGGAAGAACTCGTTCTTCTTTGTTGTCTTTTTATTCGATATTTCAATGTTCTATTGATCTCTCTATCTCTCTTTAAGTTATAATTTATAAATCATTAATTTTTCCGCATCTCTTAGAATACGTGTCATTACATTTTTGTATCATTTTATATATATATAAAAAAAAATATATAGATATTATTGATTTTTATAAAATATATCATATATTGATATATCGATATATTGATATATTGATATATATTGAGATGGATGAAGATAAGGATTTGTGGAGGGGGCTGGAGCAGAATAGTGTAGAATAGTAGCGGCGACGCGAGACCTACACCCGTTTACATATATGTATATATATATATATATCTTCACAAACTCGGCGTTATGTATATTACCATCTACCGCAACTCTCCTTCACCAGTTTACCGCTGGTTAACTACCCGGATAGACACTACACCACGTCATTACCGCACCACCAGTCATATTCATTATTATTTATATTTTTTGTCATTCTCGAAGAGAAAAAAAAATTTTTTTACCCTTCTCATTACCCCCCATTTTCACGCGAAAATTCAAATTTATGATAAAAAAAATTTATTCTGCTGACTTGTGTGAGAATAAGTGATAACTTTTAGGGTGAGAAAAAGTGACGAAAGTTGAGTGGATTTTGAATTTTGATTTTAGTGGATTTGTTGAAAGTGCCGGGATGACGTGGGTAGGACGATTTTTTATGATGTGATCGATGAGGGGACTGGAAATTACTAATTACCAAGTTCCAGTTGATAAATTCATTTTACAATGACTGTTAGCGAATTTTGGTGGTTTGCTGTTGTTGTTTCCGGTGTTTTGAGCTGCACCGGAGCTATTTTTACGGCACCACTACCAGGTGAGTTTTAGATTATAAATTCAAATATCTCGTGAGGTATTAATACTTTGAATAATAATTTCACTAATTTTCTCAATTTAAAGAAGCAAAAAAAATTGATTTATTGGTGTTATACGTGATGATTGAGCAAACATAGAGTATCTTAATCTTAAAAATTGAAGACTGATTGGATATCTTAATAAAACAAAAATCAATGGCTGGTTAAGCTACAATAAATTATATAAACCCCTGTTATCTCAATTATTCCAACGTTTTGCAAATCCATTCAATATAATCGGGGCCACATGTGAAGAGTATATCCATATATTTGGCCACTTCCCCAACTCACCTAATTTTAGATACAACTCTTCGAGGAGCTCATCCAGCCGCAATTCGAGTCAAGAACCACTGAATAATAATTTAGATCAATTGAATATTGATCGGCATCCCTCAATGAGATGATTAAAAATATCCAGGTCATCACTCCTTTTTTTTTCAATGAAAACGACAAACAAATATATTTTAACAACAAAAATATCCACATTATAACAAATTATGTGACAATATTCTGAATATAATTCGTCTATCAATTGTAAACGATGGAATCGGATAAAAATCGTTTTTTATTTACTATTTATATATTTATATATTTTACTACATTATAAAACAGTTTAATTATTTATAATAATTTATTATTTTATTTGTATTACTTTTAAATAGTCGTAGAGTTTCTGGGAATTTTGTGTTTTGATTTATCGGAAGGGTTGAAGGCACTTAAAAATATATTTTTTTCCTCGCGGCCCTGGAGAATATCACGATATCAGCTGTTATCAGTGTTTAAATTGTTTAATCAAATGTTTGTTTTTCGCCCACACCCGATGATATCCGCTTCTCGGCAGGGGACCTTCGAATATTTAATGTTCAGGTGTATTTACACGTTTTTATGATAACGACAATATGTAACAATGACGTTGGAATTACGTGAAAATTTAATTTCCCGACGTAATCAGTTCGCTCTCATTATTTGCCAAGTAATTCACTCTTATTATGCATTTCATTCAACGACTGACTATTTTATATCTATTTCTTCTGAAAATTACATTCACTGATAATTGAATTGTTCACCCGAAATCTAATAAAAAATAATAGAAAATTCATTAGATATTTTACGTTTTGTTTTTTGAAAATCGTAATTGTTCGAGTGCCAGTATTATGACGTGGTTATTGGATAATAATTACCATTTATCTTAGCGTGGAGCTGATAACAAGACAATTATGAATAATTTATCATTAGTGTGACATAATTTCATGGTTCTAGTATAGTTTCAGGTCATTAGAGCGATTTAAGAATTTTTCGTTATGACATTTTAATGAAAAATCAGATGACAATGGAATTGAATATCGACTATAAATAATAAAGTCATGTATTGATGTTCATGAGTGATTAATGATGATCAGAAAGGTCATCCAATGTCTCAATTCCGTATTTTTAGCTCAAGAATTCACGTGCGTCTGGTAGACGAAGAAAAAAATTCATATTCCAAACGCATATCACTCCGTCGTCGCTCGAATTTCACTTGTAGTCTGTCCAGAAATAAATCGCTTTAAATAATCGACAGTTCTTGACAATTAATAATTATTGAACGTTATTTGAGAAGTTGAGAATATTAAAAATAACGTGGAGCCTTTGTGGTTTCAACTTCTGACAAATTCAGGGCTATTGAAGACTGTAATGAGTTACTCTTGGTGGATTTCAAAAGGCGTTTCACGTCATTTCAGAGAAAACACATGTTCTCTGTACGTACAATAGATTTACTCAAGTCAACAGATACGAGAAATTCTATTTTCCAATTCGATATTCATTTCCAGCTCAATGAGCATCTGAAACATTACGCCATTCCGAATTCTGGTGGGAGCGGTGGATGAATGCAGGATATTTTACAAATGTTTATATCAAATATAAACATATATTTATGTTTATAGAGAAATTAAATGATCAAAAGTGAAGTCAAAAGTGAAGGTAGAAAAATAGGGGAATACCCGCCCGGTGGTTTTGGTTTTAATTAAATGATAGCTATGAGATTTTTCCACAATTAAACGTAAAAAAATCGATATTGTTAATATATATGTAAGGGTTAAGGGAATATTGTCGGAGATTTATTAAGATTTCGCCGACGGAAATTTCCCCGGTTGAATGGAATTAATTAGAATCTCCTAGCTCTTATCTTATCAGAATTTAATGGATTACGATAGAGCCGACGGTTAAAAAATTGTATGATACATTAAACTACGGAATTTGGATGTTCATCAAGTACTTGGCAGCTTCATGACCCGTGTAAATTGTCATTGCGTCGGAATTTGTTACAGAACATTAACAATGATCATAAGACGAAGGGTAATTGAGTCATGTCTTACATAAACGCGCTTTTTCCACTTGTAAAACTTTCAAACGCCGCATTAAACCGTTTAAAAAATAAAAACAATAACAATATGTGCAGGGGTGCAAATGAATTCATGACGTAAAAAAATCTCTCAATTTTTCAGAAAGCTCTCGAGTGTAATAAATTTTCTTACTCTTCCTTTATATCTCAAGCAAGAGCTCGTATTATTGTTATCTCTCCGTGAATTCTCAAATTCCACCGGAATTTATTCCGAGTAATTGCCTAGAATTTCATTCACAACATGTCAAGATTAATTAATCTGTCCCCCGACAAATTGCCAAAATTTAATTAAACAAGAGTTACGATGAAAAAAAAATGAGAAAAATAATAAGAAAATTCAAATAAAAAATGGAAATATTTCTCGTTACAAGTATTTTATATTTTAATTTTTTTCATTAGCGGTGGATCGATGAAAAAATCATTTTTTCCCGGGCAATTGCAATTGAATTCAAAATAAATTGGAGCAACCCGTGACGAATCACTAGATCTCGGTACTCACCCCATTTCACTTGCACTTGTTATTACTATCTTTTCTCCCTCGTTTCATGACTCTCTTGGGACAACTTCAAAAATAGTCTCACGTGAAAATCCTCGACTCATCCATTTTCAAGAAACCTGGAGATGAATAAAAGTCACAATAAACCGCTTCCACTCCAGAGTTTACTCCCGCACCCATCAAAAAAAAATATTAAAAACTAGTCCGAGAATATTTTACAATAATATTTGTGCAGTATTTGACGCACGTTCTATGGTTAATTATTAATTAAAAATGTGACTTATTTTAGGAGAAAGTCGATTTGGAAATTTATTGGTCGCAGGTAATCATCGATTCGATAAGAAAAATATAATTTTCTTAAACCCGGAAATTGTCACCAGTTAAATTGAAATTCGTATTTTAATTTCATTTGAAGACTTGAAATCACGTGTTATTGAGTTTTCCTCTTAGGATCATCACTTTTAATGCATGTATTCATGCGTCATATTTCCGCATTTACATGAGAGGAAGGCAAAAATCATTCGATTCAAAATTTTATTCATTTCACAACAAATCGCAGATTAAATCGATAATCGATTCACCTTCTCTGTAATGATGAGACTAAGAGAAAAATTCGTGAAATTTCGAGAGAAAACCCCCGCAGAAAATAATATTTTGACAAAATCATTTTTCATATATATAAAATTAATTTCCATTCAACTGAAAAAATCCGGCAATTTTTATTGAAAACTCAGTAATTTGAGGTGTTGGAAAAATTCCCGGAAAATGACTTATAGGGGAATTTTTCCTTGTCACTCCGGTCTTTTGTTAGGATTTTCAAAATTCCCTCCATTTATTCTAGTTTTGCTGTTGTATAGTCTCTTGATTCAGCCTTTGGTGATGCACATGACAAAAGCACTGAGGCCTCAAGGCAAAACCTCCAGATGAGTGGAGAGACACTCATTGTCAGTCTTTTCTTCCTCCAGCCTCTCCTTTGTTGCCTTCCTCCTTTTTTATTATTTTTCTCTCCTTAGTCCCTTGAAAAAAAATCATTTTGTAATAAAATTTAAACTTATTCAATTCCACTTTCACAATTAATTTCAATTTAATTACAAGACGTTTAATTCTATTTTTATTCAGTAGTTCATTAATTGTTTATCATTTTTACAATCAACGAAGCGTCAAAATAAATAGGAAATATTGGGAAAATGGAGAAATCAATACATATCTGGCATTTAGCCTAGAACAATTTCATGAAGATGTACATATTTAAATCCATCGATGTACACAACTGAAATCTGATGCCAAAAGCATTTCTGGCAGATGGAATAGGAATATTTTTGCTTTAAACCGTATCGTGATATTTATTAAAAACTAAAATGGAGTGAAATGAAATTGTTTTTTTTTTAATGAACCATCACGAGGCGCGATTGCCACGTGGAAGTGAGGAAAAACTGATGATTTTCGTAATGACTTTTGTAATGATTCTGATATAATGTAGTGATACTGATATCACAATTCTTGTCTTGTTTTTCCAGCAATGAAAATTGTTCTAGTAATTTATTTATGAATGAATCCGCGTTCTAGAGCTGATGGGAGAAAATAATTCTTGAAAGAAACATTTTAGTCCTTGAAATTCAAGTTTTAAATGACCAATCAATCGGTGATTTATAATCTTTCCACGTATTTTGCTACCGAGAATAGAATTTGTGAGAAGAAGATTTGCGTAGTTTGTAGTTTCTGAAGACAATTGATTGTATAATGATATATCCTGAATGGATTTGCACGAGACGTGAATTCGCAACACAATAACATCCATCTGCGAATGAACAATGTAAATAAAAAATAATTAGACGATCAATAAAAAAACATAAAAATCATTAACTTCTAGTGGAAATAAAAAGTGGAAATTGTTAAAAATTAGCCGTTGATATTTTTAAAATCCCAGGTCTAGTTTGCGACGTGTTTTTTTTTTTACCGGAGGCATTTCTGTTTGAATATATTTTTTCAAGATTTTTCCGGGTAATGCACTTCGTCCACGCGTGTCACAACGTGATCAAAAGTCTGGCGTACGTGACTTAAATCATCGCTGATGAGATTTGAACGCGAAATAACGGGAAAAAAAGTGGAGCGTAAGGTTTTGCTAGTATTTTCTCAAACCCAGTCACGTTGCGCAATTATTACGTTTACATTCGTGTTTTTATGTAAAGTAGGTCAAGATCAAACGGAGTATAAATTAAATTAATTATTTTTGGTTATTAATTAATATAATAATTTTTATTTTCTTTGATGTTGCATTTAGTATTCTATACTTTCCCCGCTTGCTCTATTTTTTATCTATAAGTTTAAACTATTTGAAAGTTCTATTAATTAATTAATTTATTTTCATTTATTTATTTATTTATTTTCATTTATTTATTTATTTATTTTTTAATTTTTTTAATTTCATTTATTTATTTTACTAGTTTTGTTATCACTTTTTGTTTATTATAAAATTGTTATGCAATTTTTATCTTCCGTTTCCCGTTTTTTTTTTACTGAATCATCAGTTTTGACTCCTCACAGCTTCAGCTGATTCGATTGGTTGTAGATAGAAATTTTTAATGAGATTAACTAAAATTAATGATTAAATAATATGAATGACTCTCAGATATTTCTAGTACTGATACTTTTGTTTTTACTTTTTTCAGAGTATCTGCATGGTCTCACGGGCTACGAAATATCGGATGTGAATGGAAAATCATCGAAAATAATAAAAAATGAAGTAATACGAGCAAGTGGCGAGAATCGAGCGAATGAAGCGAGTTCAAGGCGCAATCCTACGGTCGATGATGAACAAACGGTTTACGTCATTGAATTTGAGTCGGAACCCAGTGAGAAAAATCATGAACGCAACAGCAAATCCATGGACTCGGAATCAGGTGATTTTATCCCACAAAAAAAAAAAAGCCATTTCTTTCTCAAGGCAGTTCTGCCTTCTGACGTTTTCAACGTTAATGAATTTACTATCGAAAGGCTTGAAAAAGCGGTTTCTAGGATGAAAAATTTATCGCTCCTCAATATTTTACGAGCAACTTTTTATTTTCAGTAATTACCGACGTTTTAGAATCGTAAACATATTTTTTCTTCATTTTTTCAATTACTGGAAACTAGAGTTAAGATTTTGGAGTTATTATTTATCGTTTTCAATAATACTATTAGGATTTATCATTACGAATAAATTAACTAGCTGATTTGTTGCAATGAGAGTAAATTAATTACCCAAAGAAAAATAAATATCGCGATGATGGGTTATTAAATTAGTCGGGATTGGACAGAAAAATGATTACCGCTTTTCCTCGAATTTTTTTCAAATCTTCAATTTTCCGCGTGATAATTCATTAATCTAAGACAAACAGCTCTTTGTTGCTGAAGACCCTGACCCCAGTCACTTCTTTGTCTCTTCCACATGTGAAGAAAATAAAAAATGAAATGAGGTGGAAGCAAAACGGGTTTTCAAAACGAGTATCGAGTATAAACTCACATGACAAAGAAGACTCCACCAGTCGTTTTGAACTTGACAATATCGCCGAAACCAGAATTTCCCTTGAATATTAATATTAAAAAAAAAAACCAATTAAGCAATTTAATAAGCAATTAAGGAAATTAATATAAAATACGATAATGGGATTTTGGAATAATTTGAATGTACGAATGATAACAATATATTTAATTTGACAGAAGAAATGGAGAATCAGAGTCCCCTGGATCCCTGGTCGATCGTGTGGTACATTGGATCATTTGGAGGTCTCGTTGCTTTTTTCCTCATCGTCAGCTGTTCAGAATGGTGCTGTCGTAGATCAGCTCGTCCCCTGGGAACTCCTTACACCCAGAGACCAACTGAAACCGTTACGATAACACGAAATGTTACAGACACACCACCACCTCCGTATCACCTGTTCGCACCACCCCCGTACGACTCGGTTAATTACAATGATTTAGTTGATAAGACCACCGGGGAGAAGCTCGATATATACGTTATTTCTGTACCAATCACTGCCACTGAGCAGACAGTACCAGCGTAGCTCAATTCAAATTCAATTCTTCAGATCATCAGAGCAAGTGCCTTAATCTATTCCAGGGACATCTCAATTCATTTTTTTATCCACCATTTTGTCATTATTTGATAGCATTTTAATTGACATATTGTAGAAATAATTTTCTTGCGTTATGTCGACTATTTGCGTCTGAAAATATGAAAAATTACTGCTCTGAAAATTGAGATTATTGATTGAAGGTGCAATGACCTGTATGAAACGCTAGTACTTGGATTATTGATTATTCAATCATTTGGGTGATGATTTTTTTTCTGGAGAAATTAATGAGCGAATCTTTCACATGGAATTGAACGGCTGAACGTCTGATAGAGTGATATTTTTTTTCTGATGCTTTTCTGCTGGAAATAATTACTGGCGAGGTCATTCATTATTGATCAAGTCCAATGACCTGGATTGCTCTGTAGATTATTAATTAGATTATCTCGATAATCAGTGGTTCTCTAGGAGAATGCAGTGACTCGTTGCAGACAGTGAAATTTCATTCGCGAAAATCGTCTGGTGACCTAAAATAATTACTAGAATCAATCCAATTAACTCAATGACCTCAATAATTATTTATCGATTATGATGTAATTATGGTTGACAGATTTTATCAATTTTTTCTCTTGAAACCACTCATTGCTGAGATAATTTTCCATAAAATCGCTGAATCATTCATTGAAACAGTAAAAATTTAAATAAATAATGAAAATATTGGAGGAGAAAAGAGAATCTCCGAAGACACACCAAACATTTGGTTGAGTCATTAAATTTCTTTAAAATATTCCGTATTATGAAATGAATTACGCAAATAAATATTATACTCTGAAGATTATTATAGACTAAAAATATCTAAAAATTCTCAATTACTCGAAGAAAAATACAAAATAATTCTCCCTATGAAAGAAATTCCAGTTATCGAGTAAGAATTCGACATTCGATCAAAATTTTCAATCGAAAAATTCACCAGCTGATTTTTAATAAATCTAAAGTTCTATTTGGATTAGTCAATGCATGAATATCACATGGTGTAAACAATTTCCTGTAAATTTATTTTATTGTAAATAATTCAAGTATGTTATTGCAATTTTCATTGTTAGAAGTATTTTTACAGTACATCAATGAGGCAGTGTAAAATTATTAAATTTCATCGTTAGAGAGTGAATTAAATATTTCTAAATGTTTATGGGATTAATAAAATCCAATAGCTCTCGAAGTTACTCGTGAAATTATTAAATTGATTAAGCTCCGACTGCCATTATGAAACTGCTGACATTGAGAAGAATATCGTAATTAGACCCTAGACCTGATGAAATTTGTATTCCAATTGTAAATTTGTTAGGAAAAATTACTTACTGTATTGTTAAGATATTTATTTTTTATAAATTTTTTGTATAAAAATTAATAAAATGTAAAAAAAAATGCACAAAATTGGTCAACTGGTGATTGTTATTAAATATTTTTATTCTTTGAAATAAATAATTGAAGACACCCACAAAAAAGGGATTTTTTCCCTTTTCTGCAAGATTTTTTTTCATTCCGAGTTTGTTTATTTAATTAAAAAATATAATTGAAAAATTTTTCGAATAGATTCACCAGATCCGAATTAAATGTAGAAAGAAAATTTCATTGTAGATGAATCGAAAAAACTAATTGTTTTGTGAAAAAAATTTTCAAATATTCTAAATCATCCCGCGTAATGTTTCCAAGATGGCGCTGTCTTCGTCGAGAATTTTTCAGGTTGTTTTTCTATATTTACTAAAAAATATATTCGCAAATATACACCTCCTGATAACAATGAGTTTTTCCCTGAATTCCTCTGCAATTCACCGAAAACTGCTAGGATAATTGTTAATTAACTCCACAGTGAGTACACGAGCGATTATTTTTAATAAACAATTGCCCAAAATGTCCACAAACCGTCACATATGTCAGACAAGAATTTGACAAGGAGAAATGTCAAATTAATTTTACGCGTCAAAATTTATATTTATGATTGAATTCACTTTATAAATTTAATTCGATTATCAATTATTGAGTTATGTGACAGTTTGCGGGGTTTTTAAATGTTTAACAATTTTCAACAAATCTGATTTTTCAGGTTCATAAAAAATTCGAACTTAATTATTCGTTAATGGTATTGGAGGAATATATCTATGTATTTTTTAACATAAATGGATAAATTTACCCCCGATTAAATTGCAAATCAAATCTTGTCAAGAACCATAAAATTTATTTTTTAAAAATGATTTTTTTCCAGATAACATCAGTCTACAGTAAATAATTGAAGTTAAAGGAACAATTCTTCGATGGATTCCTTCGAGATCGATTCCAACGCTTCCCTCGATTCATTCCACCTCTCCTCCGAGGACTTGAACATTCCGTCCCCATATCCTCACTCCTCAACTCCAGAATCCCCGAAGAATCTTCAGGACTTCGAGAATGGAACGGAAAAACTCCGACTCGCACTCGAGAATTCCCAATCAGAGGTCGATATCTTGAAATCCTCCAATAATGCCTTGAAGAAAAAAATCGAAGAGCTCTTCCTCGAGGCTCAATCCTCCCTGGAGGATAAGCTCAAGCTCCAAAATACCTTGAAAGATCGAGAATGCCAACTTGCGATGATTGAAAATTCCTCCAAATGGTACCAGGCACGACTGCACGAGTCAGAGGCTGCGAATAAATCATTGAAGACAAATCTAGAGGCATATCAAAAAATTCTACAGCAAAGGGAACAAACGATCGCCGATTGCATGGAGCGGTCTGAACATTATCAGCAATTGAAGGTGAAATTCGAGAGATTGCAGATAAAATATCAAACGGAATGTGAAAATTTCCAGAAGGAATTGAAAGCCATAAAAAACGAGAATTCATCGATGAATTTGTCGATTTTAAAGAGTCAGGCATTTACGGAGAATGAAATCACTCTAGATCTCAGGAAGAGGATCGACGAAATGTCGAGGGATCTTGAGATAGCAGAGAAGAGATACTTAAATTCAGAAATGGCTCGGAGTCTTGAGGAAAAATGCACAATGAGCTGTAAGAGACACCTGGAGAAGATGAGGGAGGAATTAAATTCGGTAGAGATTAAAAAAACTGAAGCCCTGGAGAATCTCAGGGTCTTGAAGATCCAAAGTGAAGACCTGAGGATCGAGAACGAGAGGTTGAACCTCATCCTGTTGTCCTCAAAGAAGGAGAAAGTCGAGGTGGAGGAGGGAATCGTTCATCTCAGACTCCAGCTGACGAAGATGATCGCCCAGCACAAGGCATTAAAAACCAGGAATCTGGAGGCTGAGAAAAAATTGCGGAGGTGTGTCGAGAGACTCAGAGAACTAGAGAAAGAGAATAAGAGGCTCAAAGCCAGGAATTTTGCTGTCAATAATTTTCTGGCGAGAAAATTTACAGAGGAAAAGAGAAAGTGCCAGGACCTGGCGGGAGTCGTGAAGGACGAGAGTGACGAGAATACGAAATCACTTATTAATCACCAGAAAGGAGAAACTGTAAATTCAATGACAATTTGCCTTCGGCAGGCCCTGACACGTGAGAGGGAACTGAGAGATCGCCTGAAGCTGTTGTCAAAACCACTAGATGAAAGTGTTGATGAAGGATATGCAGACAGTGCGGGGTTCTCTGAAATATCCTCACCCTCTCCCCTGAATTCGGGGTTAATGGATTTTGCTGTTAATTTGTTGAGGAGGAGTCAAAATTTTATGTTGCCAATTAATTCCAGTCTAAATGAACTGGAAAGGAAACTTGAGAGACTCAGTGCAACATCTGAATCATTGAGTATTAAATGTCGATGAGATAATCCATTCATGGGATTCAGTATTTATTACTCAAGTATTCGATGAACAATTGTTTAACTAGTTAATTAAGGGGTTTATTTATTACGAGTGGAGGACTTATCCACTGTATTTCGTTGAGTATTCCCATCAATTCAGTAGTAGTAAAATCGTGGAAAATGTTTAGAGACGAGTTGGAGATTAAATATTAATTTAATTATCAATTCAATCGATTAAATCATGTCTGCAAACATTTTTAATCAACTCTCTTTTCTTTCCATTTTACCTAGGGTTGTCGTATTTTTTTAGTATTGCAATTAATCTATGCACTTGAATAAATTATTGAGAGAAACCCACGAAGTGGTTTTTTTTTGTAACACAGAATTCATGCATATTTTTATAACAAATGGATAGTATTGCAGTCGTTGTCGATTAATTATTATCTTTTATGAGTAAATTCTCACGGAAACAATCGCCATGTATTAAAATGTGTAAATCCACATTTTCAAGTGAACAAACAATTGTTTAAAATTATAAAACAAAAATCTTATGAATTTTTATAAACATTCTTTGCGATTCCATAATCCCGATTTCCCGGAGGCCGAGGTTTTTCACAAATTAAAAATGCCCATCATCTATTTGATGACTAGTTTTATTATGATTACAATAAACAAGTGGCTCTTACACTAACAATTGAATAATAAAAATGGAAAACATGAGAAAATTAATGTATCACAGTCAAAGATGATTTTTACGAACCAAAAATGACAAACAATTAATGATTAAAAAAGAAATAGGAAACACTGAGAACTAGAATTGAGCATTTAAAAAAAAATAGTAATTCATCGTCCCAGAAATAATAGGGCAACTTTAACTGATTTCGTTGACAATTAATTACAAATGAGGCAACATAATTAAAGCGATGATAAAAAAAATGATATAATGCAAAAAATAAGAGACAAATATTTATGATGCGACAATTACAGCTGATTACATTGATTATAGAACGGTTATTGATTATATTGGATATAATCAATAGAAGAATAAAGAATTAAATGGGCAGTATTTCGAGTATATTCAGCCCATTGTCATCTGGGTGTCGTCTCGTTTTGACGCAGACGTTCGCATCTTCGAGATTCGTATCCACCACGACCACGACCTCGATTTTTACGCCCGTGCTGATGATGGTGATGATGATGATGCTGATGATGATGATTATTGTGAGAGCCACGATTATCGCTCTGTTTATCCTTCTCTGCGTTACTCTGTTGATGATTCGTCGGGTGTTTCGCCTCGGGTACGTGATGGTGACGCTGCAAATCCATTGAATTCTCCAAATTAACTTATTAAAAAGAATATTGCTCTAGAAGATGAAACCACACAGGATAAACCATTTCAATGAAAAATTTCCACTTACGAGATCTATAAATTTTTTGTTATTATTCAGAGATTTCTGTTGACGATTTTGCAGGAGTTCATGGAATTTTATATTCCGAATGCAAATGAATAAATAAATAGTGAGGGAATAGAGGATTTATTATTAGATAAAAATGGTATGAATGATTGAAAACAATTACCACATTAGAATTAGCAGAAAAAGCTGTGAGACTGGGCCCAGCAGGTGAAGTAGGTGTCTCAACTCCAGCGACAGAGTCATCCTCTGTCCTCAGCAGCATCTTCGTGCCCTCAGCTTCAGGATCAATAATTCCGCCTCTCTGTTTTTGGCGTACGAATAGAACAGACATTTGGCGTTGCAATTCACGCAATTCAGCTGTCACTGAAAAATCAGTGGCTGTCTCAACATCAATGGGTGGTGCAGCTGAGCAGAGACTCTCGACATCACATTTTATTGACTCACGACAAACTGGGCATATAGCTTGGAAATCTTTGGGAGAATCTTGTTGCCACTGGGGTAATTTCTCCAGTTCTTCGCGATAATATTTCTCAGCAGCTGCGACGTGAGCTGCTAAACAGTGGGAATGGAAATGGTGGTAGCACTCGGTTTTAGTAAATTCGTCTCCCTCTCGAAATCCGTAGAGACACACCGCACATTGACCGGTGGGAAGATTACTCCGAGTCAAGTGTTCACGGACCAACTCAATAAGTTCAAACATAACAGGCTGCCCTAAAAAATCATTGCATTTATCCTCGACTTCTCGCTGAATGAGATTTACTGTCTCTTCGTCCAATCCTCGAGGATTTCTCAGCGTTACAACTGGAGAGACGTCCGGATATCCTGGAGATAAATAAACTATGAGAGTTACACAGACGTATTGAGACTGAGAATCTTCTCCAGTTGATGGAAATACGAGAGTTTCGATCACTTCGGGAATTCCTCTTTCATTCTCCATCACTTTCAGTTCATTATCAAGCAAAATTGCGCCCAATGCCTCGATTTCATCAGTAACTCTCTCATCAATTTCAGCATTCGACATTTTGCCGATCAAAATTAATCACCGATTAATGCACAATTTATCGGATATTTCACTCAGAATCCAGACTCTCAATAAGGAACGACAAGTGACGATTGTTATTGACAAATAACCTCAGGTAAATTCGATCTCGATAAATTAGCAAAATAAACACAAATAGTCCCGATTATTTTCAGAACAACATTTGAGTCACGGAACATTTGACAAGAGAATTTTTCCGGTGAAAAATGGAGTTGAGAACTGGAAGTCGCACAAAAATTTGAGATATTTATTTGACACGACGTGTTGCTGATTAATTCGACGATAATTACCGGATGGAAAATGTTAGAAATGGGGGGATTTTGGGGTCAACAATATTTTTTGTGCATAATCAACTTCGTGAAGGGAAAAGTGGGGACAATAATGGCGGTGATTGGGTCATGAAATGTGGAGAATTCGAAAGAGGTAGGGGCCAAAGAGGATTGACTAAAGTAGAGGCTCAGTTCTGGGGGTTTCAGTGACCCCAACTGCATCGTAGTACTGCACCCCAAGAGAGGGAGGGCACCACACGCAATGGGTCTCTCCTAAGGTATGATGGAAGGGGGTATTGCCAAGCTTTGATGTCGCCGACACCAAAACAGGGGACAAGTACCTCCAGACGTCGTACGTAGCGCTGTATAACGCCTTCTCCTCATGCGCATTTCATCCCCACAATTCAGCAATTTCTGGCGTTTACATTTGAATCCCAGTCGAGTCGTTTGATTTTTTTTCTTTCAAATTGACATGAAAAAAAAAGGTATGGCATAAAAATTGTCTACAAAAGCATAAATGAACAATGGGTATATGATTATTTCAATACGAGAGATTCTTCCCCAGTATTGACTATTTTTTCATAAATCAAGTAATTAAAGTGAAACTCTTTCCACGTCACCTAAGAGGTAGAGTCCTCGACGCGTTTTTTTTAAAGTGGTATCCCCTGTAGGCCTAATCCACTAAGTCAATGGATGGGAAAATGTTATGATTTGAAAACCTGGAATAAAAAAAGAACCATGACATTTATTAATAATAGATAATAATGAATTAATAATAAATTCATCAATTTCTATGGATATTCTAGCTGCATTGTCGATGTTGAATCATCTCAGCAACACTGATGTGGGAGAAATATTGAACGATGATGGACGATTCGAGGAAGTTGTCAATGACATAAAACAGGTGAATTATTTAATCGATGACAATAGATGGATAATAAGGCGGTTGTCTCATTATTTTCTTGTCTTATTATTAGATATGCGACTTACTTACTTTTCGTGAGGTTTTCTAGTTTAAAGAATTGGAATCTGAAAAGGAAGTTCTGATCGCTGGAAATCGTTCTCTGGCCGAAGTCAATCTAGCAAAGCAACCCCAACTCGAGGAGAATAAAAAAGCATTACATGAACTGTCTGAGACAGGCTGTGAGCTGCTGCGGAAATTGAAGAAGAATCGGAAGTAATCATTTAAGCAATTATATAAACAATTATCAAATGATAATTGTGATTTTTATTTGGATTCTCCTTCGTGTCCAGAAAATAGCTGAGAAATTCTTATCGGGAGATACAGAAGTCGATGAATTCCTGGAACAATTCTTGACCTGAAGAAAGATAATGCATTTACGAAAGGTGAAGGTAGACAAAGTGCGAGAGCTTAAGAGGAAACCGAAATCGTCAACAGGGGGTTATCCAGCAGTGAACACCTTTCGCCGCCCAAGTTTTCTTAAAGCTATTTCCATAATGTGGATCAAAATAATTCCCACGATAGCCCGCATCTCAGACAACAAGACAAAAGACTACATCATAGGCTTGAGATGATGGAGTGGAGAATAGCCCAGTCTGGTGCAATATCATACACTGGTGACCTGTTGAATCCACCAGAAAAGGGAAAGAAGCCGTCTAATCTACTCTTTGGAAACCAGAAATCAAAAACAATTCGAGGCAGAACTAATTCTGACGACAGTGGTTCTGATAACGAATGGTTTATTCTCATTCGATCGAATTTTCCTAGTTATTCGCATACCTTTTTGGATTATTATTATTTTTTTTACATCACGCACACTGATAAATGATAAAGTACGAATTGAATCAATCTGATTGAACACAATAAACATTTATTTATGGGTTTATATTGAATTTTTATTTGAGTTATAAATACCTTCAGCCCTCCTCATAAGTAAAAACTGAAATATAAAAATGTTTCATCAGGAATATTATGGAATGATATGACTTTTACATGACCTGCATACAGAAATAAATTTATAGTAGTTTTCAAAAAGTGCACTATCCACTCTGGGTCGAATTAAAAAATTATTACCACACGCTGAAAAGACACACAAAACATTGGCGTTTAAAATTGTATTTAATCGGTAAATACTACGAGTATTAGGCTATGGTGCATTTACCTGGATATATGAAAGTATTTTTGAATGAACCTTTTTGTTTAGACTCATCTTGCTCATCCCACAGGGTCGTCCCATCGCAGGCACAAATTCTTTTCGTATTTTCGAAGACTCCTGATGATCTCGCGATAATTCCACACGCTAGTCTATGGAATAAATTATTAAAAGTGTTGAGTAAAAGCAATACGAAAGAAATCATTCATAAACTCACTTCTGGCCACTATTTCCATCAAATTTTGATGTTGAACTATTCCCCTTGTCCAGAACACCGGTCGCCTCTGTATTAGCCTCAACCATTTTCTCTTCACTCTCTAATATCTCCTTTCGTTTTCTCAATTTAGTCAATAGTACATAGGCTCGTCCTTGAATCCCATGATTGTCTAATTCTTTCCTAACGACTTCTGCGGTCTGTGATATAGTCTGAAAGGCATTGGTCATCTCAAAAGCCTGACTTTTTTCTGATAACGTCTCAGCAGCTCCCTTCGCAGATTTTGAAATTTCCTTACCCAATTGTCCAGCTTTTTATCCAGCTCCGTTTTTCCTGCCTCGTCGATGACTCCCTGTACCTTCTCCTTCAATCCCTCCAGCTTCCCTTTTAATAACTCTGAGCTCTTCGATGCCTCAGATTCCACTGACTGGAATTTTTGACGAGCTGATTTCAAAGCCTCCGACTGCTGATTATTTGTGTTTCAACGAGTTAACAGTTATTAAAAATATCTTCACAAATTTGTCAGTGATGTTTACTTGATTTACTTCAATAATAATTTAATATCGTACTTACTGTTTTGGGCGGAGATATAAAATACGACGTAAATTTAAGGCCCGGATTGATTATCTGGAAAATATAATTTACTCCGAAATTTGGACTGCTAGTTACTCCGGAAATCAATCGTTTTTTTCCAATAATTGTTAGCTAGCACCGTAGCGGTTGTCAACAACTAGAGCGCTAGCTAACAATTATCGGAAAAATCGATTAATTGGTGGAGTAATTAGGAGTGGCAATTTTGGAGTAAATCATCTTTTCCAGACAATCCAACCGGGCTTTAATTCCAAATTCAAAATGCGGCACTCCAGCGTAGTCAATCACTTGTTTATACACGCACTCGCGATTTATATGATGGAGCCATATCTAGTGGCATCTCGACATCAGCTGATCGAGAGATAAAATCATCTCGAAAATTCAAATCCCCGAACCGACCACGAAAAAATCCACGGAACGGATACGATATATCCGGCGGCGCTAGTTAATAAATAAATTTCACTCACCGGCGTTGGATGAAAATAAGTCCGCTTTCAATTTTCACCTTTCGAACGTCTTACCTTAACTGTAAACATAAAAAAAAACAAATTGTTAATGAAATTTCGACAAAATAATTTTTTTACTGCAAAGGCGATTTTCAATTTTGATTTGAGAGTTTTTGTTTTCAATTATTATTTAAAATTATTTATTATTTTTTATTTAAAATTTTTTTTATTTTATTGGAGGGTTAATTGAATAATTGAAAATTGTTTGTAATGTAAGCATTGAATATATCAAGAATCAGGAATGAAAAAAATGACATGAAAATAAAATGAAAATTATGCTTCAAGGTCATAAAAAAAATGCATACGAAACTCACCTTGCAGTCGGTTGCAAGATGCCCTCCAATCCTGAAGATCTCTCCATGTGATTCTGCCGCCAAAGGTTGAAGTCGGCTTGGAAGCACCAGCATTTTCAAAGACAGCAGACAGTTCAAAAGTTCACTAATCACTCACCACACAACCAAGAATGTTTTATCAACTCAAAATCCACAAAGATCAATAAAATGATATCAAAGATCAAATAATATTTTTAATCATTCAAAATAAGATGAATGAGAAAAGTAATCCTTCGAATCTAATTCGCACTGTCACTTCACTCCGTATCTAAACACACACTAAACAATTCACAAAATCACTTGCACTGAGTCCGGCACTTTGTATTTTCAATGTTCACAGGCGGCGCCGGTTTTTTGCGCTCACTAGGACCCCGATGTTAACGAATTTTAACTACGCGACGCGCGACCAACCGTTCCACGCGCGGGTCGCGGAACGACTGACTCCCCACTCAAAATGACAGGGCGTTGGAGGCGGCGCTCGAGTGGGGGGTCCCCCCGGCGATACTCCGCGCGTGCGCACAGAACACCCCGCATGCGCACAGAACACCCTGCAAGATCCGTTCAATTAGCCCCCCATGTATAGATATTCAAAATTTTCATTTTTTTTCTAATTGAAGTAGTTGTGAAGAAGTTTGCTAGTTAATAAAAAACATTTGCTACTTAGTACTTTTTTTTAAATAAATTTTTTTTTAATTGACCCTGAAAAAAAAGCTGTTTGCCCCCCTCTTTCATTATTTCCAATAAAATTTATCACCAATCAGTAGCAAATTGTTTGAAGATTTTTGCGAGTTCATCAAAAGTTATCAATGCACTCGCATTATTATGTAAAATATCAATTTCCGGTTGACACCCCAGTTAAACACACGGTCTCAATATCGATCCAATATGGCCGCTGAGTCATTTTGGAGCAATCTCATTTTGGAGTAAAGTTGTGTGGAAGTTTTTCAGTGCAATGGGAATAAAATTATTTGTTTAATCGATAACAAAGGTAAGTATTTCCATTGAATATTTAGGAGTTCAGTGTAGTGAATAGTGTCTAGAATTTCCATGAATACCTTTCCATTCATCGGAAGTGTTTTCGTCACATGTTTTTATTTCTATTTCAATACTCTCGTGGAATAATTAGTATCCCGTACTCCACATTACTCATTAGTCCATATGATTAATTATTCCATTCCTGCACAGGTAAAAATAGGAAGGGGACCGTTCCTTAGATCATCCTACAGTTTTACTCCTCCAGTCTCCGAATGGCTTTCAGCAATACCAGAAGTGAAAGAAAGAGGAACTGGTGATTAATAACTCATCAAAATGATGGATGTCACGGAGAGATTTCCAAATAGAATACAGGTGATGGGGAACTCTCTAGTTCTATGTCTGTTTCCACGGACTTCCCATTGCCTTTGGGAATTCGTGGAGTTGATGATGAATAAGAGTGAACACAACCTACTCAGGGTTCACCATAATTCAGAGATCAATCTCTTTCTTTTATTGAGGACTTTGGTTTATCAAGTACTGGATTTCCCAATTAGCCTGGAAGATTGGCTCTTGGCTATCATTTTATCTACTTCATTCAAGCTGAGAAGGAACCGTGCAAAAATGAAAAAAAAAAGAACAGCTGAGGGATCCTGCTTACTAAAACATCGAGAGTGATATGAGGACACTGAGCTCTACGGTTTCACCAAAAAGTGTTAGTATATTTTGAAAATCAATCTTTTGTGTAAGTTCCGATTAATTTCCAGGTTTAACATTTTGTAGCAATGATGAAAATTAAGGGTTTATGAAGAAAAATATCATACAGAATTCCATTTCGGAAGAAAATCACGTGAGATGAGTCCCTCGATAGTTCCCAGGATATTTCCAAGGCTTTGCAGCTTACTTCTTTCATAGAAAAAATCCTAAAGGAACTGTTAGTTGAGAAAATCAACAGAACTCTTGTTCTTCCACAATTTTTTTTTTCAAACGTCGTCCATAGACTTCAATCTAATTTTTTTCATCTCTTCAATGCACTTTTTTCTTTTGAAAAATTATACTTCGATGTAAGCTTCCTGGAACAATCAGCCTGAACCTCCTAGAAAGTTGAATATGAAACGGATCTCACTTTCAAAGGATTCATATGTTTATTTCTTAAAATTTTCTCTTACATGCAATAAACTTATTTTGCATGATTTTAGGTTACTATGTATCTTATCATTTGTTCTTCCTATCATTTTCAGTTTTTCATAGAATGCTGCTAGCAAAGAGTTCCAGTCAAATCTTCGGAATTCTACAAACAGTGAACATAGGATTACCGCTATCGCAGTGTCTAAAATTATGGATTGTAGGTAATTAGATTATCGGCCTTCCCTTTCTTTATTTCAAATTATAAATTGTGGAATGTGTCGAACATTCTAATACGTCCCAAGAAATTTTATCGGAAAATAATGTCTTCACTTCACATCCTTGTTTAAATGCACGGTTCAAGAACTATTTGATATCTTTGATATCTTCTGGAATTCGGTTAAAAAATTGAATCGCTTCTTAATGAGAAATATTTTGCAGATTACACCACAAGTATTCGATCTTTTTATGGAATATAAATTGAAAAATAAACAATAAGATCTACAGAATTTGAGCCGAGGGATTTACAATAGAAAAAAATTACTCATCCCAATAAGTTGATTGGAGACAGAATTTAAAAATTTATTGATCTCGTCTATATAAACTCCTTAATCCATTATTACCTGTAAGAAAAATCTCGCAAAAAATTTTGACAGACTTCCAAATAGAGTTGACAAATAACTTCTCAAATTTGTAACAGAAAGTCATTTTGTACTTAATGTACTAGATTTGCCTATGAAACATCATGGTACGTATCATCGTAGATTACACCTTATTAAAAGCATTTACCTCATTAATGAAGAATTATTGAGAGGATTTTCGTGTTGAAAATGTCCATACTTAGTGTTAAAAAATTATTTCTCTAGAAAGAAAGGAAGTTATTAGTGGGTCAACTGCATTTTTAAGATTCTAAAGTGCTTAGTATCATCTCGAATTAAGTATTCTTGTATTGAGATTGAAGCTAAATATTAATTCGCAGAATAGACTGCGCAGAACCGATAGCCTCATGGGATGAGATAATTTTCAATTATTTTAAGATATAAGTTTATGCAAAAATTTGGGAAACCACCTACTTTGGAGAAGTTGATCATAAAAATGTAAAACTATAGATCGTATCTGGACTTTGCAATACTAAAAAAAGTACTTTATTATAGCTGTTATCTGAAATCTGACTGAAAAAGACCAGGCCAGTTTTCAAATGGAATATTTCATGGGATTACTTTAATTGTGGAGCGGTAGTGGTTTCTTTAATATCTATAAATCTAAACTCAGTTCCAAAAAATATGTTCTTTGCAACTTCTAAGCTATACTACGGAAGAGTCTGCACATAAAAATCCATTTTCTAGAATTGATTCATCTATTGATTAAAGACTGGAAATGACATTGGCTGATTTTGTTTTATATAATCTCTTTATTGTGTTATTACATACTGTCAAACCCAACAACTAACCATTATTGAATGTTACCGTTTAAAATTTGAAAGGGAAGTTCTTTTCTTAGTTTCAATGCAAAAAATGTGCATTTTTTGAAATTATGAAACGAAAAAAAAATTCATGCTGGCATACTTGAATTATCTTGTCCGTAAGTCGGTAAGGTCGCTCTCTCCTATGTATTCTTTCCAGATTGTTCGAAGTTTTCTTTGAAATTGTCTCTTAATTTAGCTTATTATCAAGAGAAATGAGAGTAATTACTAGTACTCGATTAATCAATCGATTCAGAATGATTCCAATTTGCTCATTCTGATGGAAATTCATGCATTGCGTCTGTAAATAATTGTGAGTGAGAATATTAAGTCATTTTTCAATGAGAAATTATTGACGTACCAGTATGATTTGTTGTTTTTTTCCCCCCAGAATAATCGGTCATCAACAAAATAATTATATTAATTGGACAATTCCTTTCGTAGAAGTGATTTACACCTGGCAAAATGCCAAGACCAGCCAAAGTGACAAGGGAGGAGGCTGTGGCCGCTCTGGAAGTCGAAATGGAACATTTTAGAACCTCTTTATTACCAAAATACAGTAGTACCGTTTGGCAGAACCTGAGTAAGGCTCTGGGCGGAAAATGGAGTGCTCATGATGTGTATTGCAGTGTCTCACAAGACAGGAGAAAGATTCTCACCCTGGCGCGTAAGAATCAAGGAATTCACCTTGACAATATTTCTCAAAACCCCAAAGATGAGAATTTGGATTCAACGCTGGACGACTCTTTGGTCAATGAAGACACTGATGATCCGTATGAGTTTGAACAAAAAGCGCAGGGACTGGACACTTTCTATTTGGAAATTTTCAGGGAAGAATGGGACGCGATGGTGGGCTCGCCCATTCATTATGGAGATGGCAGGGTTTTATCTGTATTACACAGAGAAAAATGGGCGGGCTTGCTCTCAATAATTATTTTCCTCCGAACTCATCTGCCCTGTGCTTATAGCTTCAACAATTCAAAAATTTATAATTCTCCAGACAGTTTCCACTATTGCCGAATCACTGGACATTGTAAGAGTAAACGATGTGGGAACCAACTGTTTTGTTATCTGGATAAACCCCCTCCTGACGACGCTGAAAAGTTCACAATGACGATGAGGACGAGAGACACCTTTTATGACGATCACGAGGTAGTAAAACGAGATCTAAGAGGATATTTGCGGCAGCAAGTAGGGGAGAAAGTTTATTACATAGGAGCGGGAAATTTCCAAAAGGAGGAAGCACTGAAGGACACAAAGTTTGGTGGCCGAGTGGGACCGAATGTTCCACAAATGTCTGTGCTACGAAAGACTAAAAACGATTTTATCAGCCGCAAATGGGACCTCAAACCTGGCGATGGAAAAGATGTTGTTACTACTATAGAAGTGATGCGTTACACTGACCCATACAACAAATTCATACACGAGGTCAGGCGTGACAAGTTTTACGTTTCCTTCAGTGCTTTTAATCAGATGATAGCGTATAAACAGTATTGCCGATTGAACAAGGATGATTCGATAATTGGGATAGATGGTTCTGGTAGTTTAATAAAGAAATTCCGACGACTTGATGGAACCAAAACCGGACACATTTTCCTGTACTCTGTCACAATTAACCAAAATGGACGAACCATTGCAGTGCATGAAGCCTTAACTGAGAGCCAAGAGACCAATATTCTCGCTTGGTGGCTCGCACACTGGTTGAGGATGGGTGCACCTATTCCTGGGCAAATATCCTCCGATAGATCTCGTGCTTTGATGAATGGGATTTCACAAGCTTTCAATAATATGACAGTAAAAGTGTACGTTGAAGTCTTATTTGCACGAGCTCTAAACGGTGGTAACCGTAGCTATTACCCACCTGTTTACACTTATCTGCGAAATGATGTCGCTCACCTCATAATTGCTGTTGCTAAATGGAACGTATTTAAAAAAATCCCCTTCAGCACTGTCAGACAGTTCTACCTGTATTCCTTAGGTCTCCTGATTGAATCCCAGAATCTGGAGCAATTTCGGGAATTCTTCTTATTAATTCTCACAATTGGATTGCATAAATCAGATGATGACATTATCAGAGCAATTGAAGGTGGTACTGTTGCTGACTGCAGGAATAAATTGGAGGGATACATTGCCAGTCGTAACTTCCCTTTTAAGGGTCAAGGTATAGAGGAATGTGCGGCTGCTAGTGAGATAAAAGAAGAAGTCGAGGAACCAAGTTTGAATCAAGAGAGTCCTATTAAGAATTGGATCGATAATCTTCGTATAATGGCAGAACATCCGAGAGAAAAATGTGAGATAGAGTCTGGCACATTAAATGTTTATTATGCGAATGATTTCATGAATCGTCTGGTTGAACTTGTTTATGAGTTTCCTCTATGGTCAGCAGCTGTGATACCTCGAAAAGTGAATCGATCATCAACAGCGTTCACAGAGGGTTTTTTTAATGACTTGAAGCGTCGAGTTTTCAAAAATCAGGGAGCTGTGACACGTGCTGATCTCTTTCTCAAAAGGATGTTCACAAATAACTGTGGCGGGGCTGAGCTTTTTTCGACAGACATGAAAAGCACTAGAGGGAAACCGATAAACCAACCTGGAGCAAAGCATGGAGACATTTCTGCCTCTAACAGCAGCAGGAATCGTACAACATTGCCATCAAGATTATCAAAAAATGGATTCAGTGATGGCGACCACTCTGAGGAGGAGAGTAGCGATAAAGAGAATGTACAGCCAGTCCAAAAACCAATTAAGGAAAAAAACTTATCTGACGGAAACGAAAACAATTCTTCTGGACTAGTCCCAAGCCATTCTTCCTCGTTAGATTCATCGGATGATGGTGATAGTGATTCTGTCCCATCAAAAAGAACCGATCGAGACTTTATTTTTTCAGAAAAAGAATTTGTTTCTCAAAGTTCTAAGGAGAAAATGAAAAGAAAGTATTGCGAAGAACAAAGGAAAATTCCTGAACATTCTAGAGATAAAATAAAGAGCCCTGAAAGAGCAGTGAAAAGGGCTAGAAAGATTGCTCGCGTTGAGGAAACACATGAAACAAGAGGTACTGTTATTCATGATGAGCGGAAAAAACCCCTGAAGAAAAATGGAGGAAAATATTTCCAGGCGAGACCAGATATTCTGCACCGCAATGGATTGGCTTGTAATATTCATAAATCCGGGTTAATAATTAATGGCAATGTAAAGAAAGGCAAGGTATCTATCTCAGGTAAAACGTATTTCTCATCTAACACTTGTGGATTTGATTCGATTGTGCAGATCGTGGGTGCTGCAATGATGAATAATGAGGGATTAAAAGACTACGCTATCGAATCAACAAATAAAACTCTTCAGTTCATCTTGGAATTTTTGAAAAACGGATCTCAAGCCAAAATTTATGTACAAAGGACGAAACTTCTACAGTTACTATTCCCGGAAAGAGTAAAACTGCATTATCCGGAATCTAACATTTTGGCGTCCAATGAAATTGATATGTTCGATCACGTCGTAAATATCTGGCAAGGCTGTTTTGGATCAGAACCAGCTCTCACGTGTTTCCACAGCTGTTCTCAATGCGGGTCACACGAGATTCACAAATCCACTCTCACTGTTGATAGCGACCTGGTTGATAATAATCCAAAAAACAGCTATCGTAATCTTCAAGAGGCTCTGCAGTTTCATTTCGTTTCTCAACTGGCTACTTGTACAAGAGTAAATAACAGAAATAAATACTGCAATGGAAACGTTTTGGTGAACCCTAAAGCCCTCGGTAATATGATATTCATAGAGTTGGATGTACCTAGCACGAGGGATGGTAGTGTCTTGGATTGCCAGTTAGCAGTGATGCCAAAATGTTTGGAATTAATGGATGATAAATTTCAACTTGCTGGTATTATCTCATCGAGTCCAGGTCATCACACAAGTTATTGCTGGCGACCCAACGATACATGGGAGTTTTGTGACGATCGAGCATCAGGTGTAGCCTCTGCTAATCAGAAAACCAAGGTGAAGGCAAGTGCAGTAATCTATGTTAAAATTTTTCCCAGAGGGGTGGGTGACAATTCAGAGCTAAATGCATCAGCAACTCCTCCCAGGACTCCTATCATTTCTCCTACACCTTCGCCTCCTTCTCCGAAAACTATTCTTAGCCCATTGAATAAAATCAACTACAGCCACACTCGCTTATCTCCAACGACCAAAAATCAAAATGCTGATGATTATCGAAAGAAACAGAGAGACTCAGACACCTTCTCGAGAGACAACTGGCGTAATAAAGGCGATCCAGATATTTACTGGGGTAACGAGACTAACGACGAGTCGGTGCATCTCAAAAGTTTCCGGGAAGTCACTGTGAACACTGTAGGCAGCAATGACACTTTTCCTTCATTCATCAATCCATTTCTGTCTGCTGGAGAAGTAATGCCTGATGTTCAAATTAATGGGCAGTGCTTCCACTTGATCAATACTACTATCTTGGACTCGATAATCCATATTTTACTATACACAGCAATAGATGATAAAAATTATTTGGAATCTATTGAAAGTTCCTCGGAGAAATTGCTAAGTTTCATTGTCTCCCTGAAAGATCGAGAGTTTAATGAAACTATGTATGCAGATAAGGCGGCTTTATTGAGTGATTTATTCGCTATGAAGACACGAAGAGAACCAGACAGCAACATTATCGTGCTTGATCTAGATGATTCAGTCAGTAATTTGTGGCAGTTGTCTTTACCAAATGCTCCTAGTTTGTATAAAACATTTGAATGTCAACACTGTGGTCCTTACGCCGTACCTATCTCTACAATAAATATTGACAGCCAGCTAATCTATCGACAGAACTTCACTGTCTTGCAGCAGGCACTCGAATTCCACCCAATGTTACAGAAAGTCCCCTGTGTAATGGAAGGTTGCAAGAGAGTGTGTTTGATCAATTGTCACGCTAATTTTCATGTTTTTATCAATTTGGAAATTAAAATGAGAGGACGATCCCAGAAAACAATTCACTGCAAGCTGAGCGAGATACCAACATCTTTAACTCTTGATATGAAATACAGGTAATCATTTCTCTTCAGATTTTTCGTCCCACGGAAATACGGGAATTGTTGATAGAAAATCATAGGAAATATTCTATAGAAAAAGTCAATAGAATTTTATTTTTTTATATGTAGAATTTTTTCCACTTAAATTTTTTAAGTGCCTTAGTTTTTTTTTTCTCTTCAAAAAAATCTAATGAAAAAACTTGGAAAATTTGACCGGAAAAAATTTTATAGGCAATGAAATTCTATAAAGTTTTTGTATATAATTTCTTATCGAACACGTTAACAGAAACCGCAAGAAAACAATAGAAAATTCAAGAGAAGTCTTATTGAAATTCCTATAGAATTCTTTAAGGTTTTCTATTAAAAATTTTCGTACGTGACATTAATATTTCGGAGATTCAAGTATACTAATTTTCATTTCCCACCTATACAGGCTGGCTGGAATTATTGCTTATTCACAGGAAGGATTTGTTGCTTATTGTTACCGACTTAATGATTCGACTGCCTGGTGGGAGTTATACTCAAGTCATCTGGGAAAAATTAAATCTCCTGATCGTTGTGATATAATTGAGCCGCATGGAGCTATCTATGTTGTAGAGAAAAAGTCTCATTAAAGTCCAGAGTTCGAAGGAGAGCGTTAAGTGATTGTCTGAATATGGAGGAAAAGAGACTGATGATTCCAAAAGGACAAGATCATCCAGCACTCATCTATCGTATTTTCTAACACATGAACCAAATTAATGGGGCATAAGTTTGTTATCGAGTGTCTGGTTGGGGAATAATTTGTTTCTAGTCTGCAAATATTGATGATGTTTTTTCAACAAACTAAATTCAATAGACTAATGTTGAGTTTTGTTGATAATTGTTATGCAATTTTATGAAGTTCCCAATTATAATAGTACGAATAATAATAATGTAGATGAGCCAAAAATGGCCAAAAAAATGTATTTCATCTGTTTTCTATACGAAAGTTCATTTATCTATTGTGATTTGACAAAATAAAAAAAAAAATTGCACTTTTTCGATAAAAAAACCCGTTCTTAAAAGTTTTATGGTTCATTTCACAATTTCTTCCTCGGAAACGATAACACAAAATTCTAAAATGTTCTGTTAAATAATTGGGCATAACTTTAAGGGAAAAGATGCAGAGTCGTTGATTTTTTTTGGAAGTATTTAATTTGCTATCGCATTCACGATATATCTTGAAATCCTCATGTGCTATTTCCAGATTACGTGAGTTTGAAATAATGAACGCTTAAATTGATCCTCGATACTGATTTTATTCAATGCATTTTATTCCAATTTTTCAAAAGTAAGTCTAGTACTTGCATTGGACTGCTCATGCTTAATTGGAAGCTTTTCGATGTGATTGAGGACGATATGGACAAGTTTTCTCTGGGATTCGCTGGGTCTCAGCATTTCGCTCAAACCTACAAAAAAAGATGTAACAATAAATATTTCTCATCATGTCATGGTATGAGAAATTCATTGACTCGTACAATGTTGACATCCATCATTTTGATGGGTTATGCATCACCAGTTGCTCTTTCTTTCACTTCTGGTGTTGCTGAAAGCCATTCGGAGACTGAAGGAGTAAATTTGTAGGATGATCTAAGGAACGGTCCCCTTCCTATTTTTACCTGTGCAGGAATGGAATAATTAATCATATGGACTAATGAGTAATGTGGAGTACGGGATACTAATTATTCCACGAGAGTATTGAAATAGAAATAAAAACATGTGACGAAAACACTTCCGATGAATGGAAAGGTATTCATGGA